TCAAATAAGTTATGTTTTCAGCCTGGTTTAAAAGAGGTTCCGGAGATGTATCTCTAAAACAAGATACTAGGGTATGGAACCGAAGATATATCTCTGGCGTCAGCATGCCAGATTTTGAATGGTCCATATTTGTCTACTACTTCTATAAAACTTAGGGGCTCTGGTTTTTTATTTCACACAACCACAAAATGTCCCAAATGTCAGAAATAAACATCACCTGATATGTTGCAAATGTCTATTTCTCCAGCGTGATACCCGAGAGAAAGTTTAAGCTCACCGAGTACACCTCTCTCGCAGATCTGAAATACAAAGTCCATAATCTCCTACCTTACAGAGACAATCAAAAAATTGTGAAGTTCGAGTACCGTTCATCGTTGGTTGACAACATAGGGAAGATTGAGTTTAAGAATTTGAGCTTAAGACAGATGCAGATGTAAGGACTATGTGGAATACATATTTCCATTTTGAAACAAAAGTTCTGTTTGAGTCACAAGCGATGATTTCAAGATCGGTCAAGGATATTGTGAAGATGTTGAAGCGTCCACCTGGACATTGAAGTGAAATGTTGCATTTTATGCTGAAATCACATATGTAATGTTTATTTTTTGTTATGAATGTTAATTTTATTTTGTCAAATTACTAGTTTTTTGTTTCTACCTCAGTCGGTGCTTTGCATACGTTACAAAAAATTATTTACGAAAATAAATCGGAGATGCATCTTCAGTATAAAAAAATAAAGCATCACTCAAAATGGCATCCGTTATGTGCGCATTGGGTGCACCCGGAGATGCATCTCCAAAATCTAAGGGGAATTTTAGTATTTTCGCGTGCGTAAATAATATATAGGGTGCATTAAAAAAAGAGAATTTCTTATTGCATCCTATATGTTTCTAATACACCATGTGAAATTCCACATATGCCTCCTGATTCTGGAGATACATCTCTGAAAGCACCCAAAGTTCAGTGAATGTTGAAATATTCCTGAGATATATCTCCAAAACATTTTGGAGTGTAAGTCGCGTCAGACTCTTCTCTTCCCTCACACTTCTCAACATACACTTCTCAAACTCTTCTCAACATAAACTTTCAACTTCTTCACAACATCAAATTTCATTAAACAAGGCTTAGAGGAACATCAAACATCATCAATAACATCATTCAACATCATTAAAATCATGAATTTCAGGTAAATTTTTGAGTTTTGGGATAAATTTTGAGTTTTAATGTAAATGTGTAAAAATCGATGATTAGGGTTAGAAATGTGTAGGAATCACATGTAATATAGTTTAGACTTAGTATATGACATGTTTATTGACTCAAAATGGCGATCAAATCATATTTTTTCAACTTGCATGAGTCATATTACGCCATTGTCGCAACCTCTGAGTTGTAGAACTTTCCGAAGATACCTATCTAGAATAGTTCAATGTTTCATATACTTTGGGAATTTTCGGAGATGCATCTCCGAAACTCTTCGAAGTTATTATTTTTTAGGTATTTCCGAAGATACATTTCTGAAATTGTTCAACTTTACTGTTTTATGGTGTTTTCAAAGATGTATCTCTGGAATTTCCTGCGTCTATTTTTTTTAAAAATTTTCTTGTTTTTTTGTTTTGTTTGTGTGCACTAATGATATGCCTTACTTTACCTTACAGGAATAATGGCTTATTGAGTCGATAGACTGAGACATGGCAGGGTAGCCTAGCACGCATCCGTCCGGCAAAAGTGAAGGCAGCAGGTGCCTCTGGTTAGGTAGAGGTGTCAATTTCTAGGGCGCAATCTACTTCTGGGGATCGTGCTTCACCTCAGGCCACTTCATCTCCTCCCACTCCATCTTCTTCTTCTTCCCGTACGAGATGAGATTCACCAGCTGACACGTCACTTCCCCTATCCTCCTGCAGACGTCAAGATTCACCAATGCCATCTCATGTTGATCCAGTGCCACCTTTCGTTGATGATCTTGTTGATCCAGTGCCACCTCTGGAGGGTGAGGCTGCTGCGGATGCCGAGCCAGAGGGTTTTGGAGGAGGTCCATCTGATTTATCCTTACTCCCTTTGTGTTTAGACCACAGTTCCATACATATTTGGGACGGAGAGGTATCATTAGTTGGATTTTTGATTTACTTTTTACATTAATTTTAATTGCTGATATTGATTATTTCTGACATTAATTATTACTAACATTGTTTATTTCTGGAAAATTTCAAGTGTGTGATCCCTAAAAGTTTTTGAACCATGAGAGGAAGATTGCTGGCTTAGCTCAGCCAGATTAGGATTGGTTTCAATTGGTTCTGACCTTATCTAGTTTAAAGGACCTATGCATGACCGGTTACACTCTGGTTGTCAACCACGTGATGCTTAATGCATTCGTGGAGAGATGAGATTCTGAGACCTCTTCTTTTCATCACTCACATGGTGAGATGTTTATCACACTAGGCGGTGTCTCATGTTTATTATATCTTCTGATTAAAGGGAGATTCCTCAATCGTGGTAGGATGACCAAAGACGAGGCAGCCGAGATGATGGTTGAGCATCTAGGGGCTGATATAGGTAAGGTGATTAAGGAGGTGGATATGACTAGGGATGCTCATGCTAGATTTAAGTTCCTGAAGGAGAGATATAATTATGAGATCTTTGCTACAGAACATGATTATGGGGATGCTGAGCAGGTGGCGGTACACAGGACTCGTGCTTTGAAGGCATATTTTCTTTTTTTTGTTGGTACTTACATTTTTGTGGACACGAGTGCCATTTATAACGATGTTGCATACCTCCGGTACTTCTTGGATCTCACTCAGATCCATGAGTGCAAATGGGGGGCGAGTTGCCTATGCTATATTTATTCAAAGTTGAGAGATGAATGTCGGTGGATGATGAAGCAGGTCACAGGCAGCGTGACACTCCTTGAATGTTTATTTTTCAATTTCATTTCATATTTGCGAAACCATTGCCGATAATTCTTGACCCTTGAATGTTTTTTTATTTTCATTTCAGGCTTGGATCCTCCAGTACTTCCTACGCTCGCTCGCTGGGCAAGTGTGGATGATTACACTGAGTACATACCTCGTGTCTGTGCTTTTATCTCGCTAAAAAAGAACCATGAAGTCGAGCTTTTCAGAGTCTACCTTGATCGTTTGGTTGCTGAGGACATGCACTTCAATAACTACGTGGATCATCGTCAGATGCAACCATTTAATGAGATATTGCTATACTCTAGATGGTTGGCCTGCAGATTGTGTATTGGTACTCCTCACCTGCCTGAGCGTGTCATATGGAAGTTCTGGTTCACCCAGACCATCCCTAGACACCCTGTTGTCTCTGATCCTCTTGCCTTGACTCATAGACAGATAGAGAAAATGTTTGTTGATTATGAAAGTCATATGGTTCTAGAGGAGACATGAGTTACCATAATGTTGAACGACTGAAGCTACGTCGACGAATACATCAAGTGGTTATTTTGGGCGTCGCATATGTACATGGTGCAAACTGCTCCAAGAGATTCACCGAGATCAGCTCAACAAGAGATATTAGAGGAGGAGTAGGCTCAGCTAAATCATACTGATGATGTATTGTCTCGGTGTCGTCGCATAGTGGAGATTGTGCGGTCAGACATTGACGAGGGTATTTTTCCTGAGGGGTCTGCTATCAGGTGAATCCTGGATGCCATGGTGACAGATGCACAAGGAAAACTGTTATATCAGAGACATCACCGGAGGACAGGGGGATTGATGGTCAAGGAGGCAGAGCAGGCATAAGAGATGTTGTCAGGCACACCCAGTAGTAGTCTGTTATTAGTTTGTTGTATTACTATATTCTCTACTTATTTTATTTTTTTTATGTTTTTATCACATTTTAGATCTCGATTGTACGACATTTTCTAGAAATAGTGTTATACTTGATCCAGTATTAGTCTCTTACTATTTTGTACGTCTATTTTTTTTATATATTTTGGACAGTATGTTATACTTCATCTGAAAACAAATACATAACTAATAATCAAAAATATTTGTTTTGAAACTCTTCGACGATGTATCTCTAGAACATTATCAGATATACATCTCTGGAACGATTCATATGTAAATGGTGTATGAGTAATATGTTTTAAATATTTAAAACAGTTCTAAAAATGTATCTTTAAAATATGTCAACGTTTTATTTAATCGAAAATATATCTCCAAAATCATATAACATACGTAAAAATTCACATGATACATAAGAACCAAAGGTGCAATAAAAAATTTCTTAAAAAATCTTCCAAATTTATTATAAAATATAGCGTACGGCCCACTGCATGTGAGTGCGTTTGTAATTTACATACAACGCGACAAGTGGGAGGGTGGGTCGTCTTGGGAGTCTATAATATGCCTCACGGTGCTCAAGTCCACTTCCTACTCCCCTCTTTTTTATGATTAAAATTTTAGAACACAAAAAGTGTATAGTCCATATTAAATTAGGAAGAACTGCACATTTCAACCATTTACGTGTAATTTACAAACATCATAAAACAGAGAAATTTGAACTAGAATTAAGAAAGTTCCGTTATATTTCTGTGTCAACTCTTTTAGCAATCTCTCTCTAAAACCATCTTAATCGTACTCATTACTCCAACCTCCAACAAATGTTTTCTCATCCTAACAAAATGCTTAACTCATTGGGGCATGGTCTCTAACGTGATGTGTCTTGTCTCACTATATAAAAAACTCCGCATTCTAAGATTGTCCACCCCAACCCAACACAAAACGTTACTTGAAACCGAACACCGATATTGCAACACGACAAATATCAATTATACACTTTTTTTTTCTTATCATGCATACCCAACTCACTATTTGTTACTCCGTTTTGCTTTGTCCTTTTGCATAACCACTACTACTTAGTTTTGTTTGAGTCACGCCTCATGACTGGTCAAAATCTCTAACACAGTGAGTGTCATAAAGAAGGATTCTTCTTCTTTTTCTTTTTCAGTTTCTGTTTCAGCTTCAGTTTCCTCGAACAACAACATGGGTTCTTTCCCAAGTCCAGGAGCACCGTATTACAGAGAGAGAACAAGAAGGTATGAGAACAACAAGGGATGGAGCTCAGAGAGAGTATCCAAGCAGACAAACAACAACAGCAGCAGCAGAAGACATACTATGTCCGGTTTAACACCATTCAGTGGTGGAAGAACAATGCCATCAAAATGGGATGAAGCTGAGAGATGGATTTGTAGTCCAGTTTCAGCATCATATGCTGATACCAGGAGAAATTCACATGCTCAACAACAACTTCTTCAACAGCGAAGACCCAAGTCAATAAGTGGTCCAATTGTTCCTCCTCCTGGAGTGGCTTTCTACTCGAGTTATTCACCATCTGCTCAACAACTGAGACAAGGTTTTGTTGTGAGGAATTTAATGGTTAGTTCCCCTTTTTCAACGGGAGTGTTGGCACCTGTTGCTGTTTCTGTTCGCCATTATGAGGAAAATGATGGAAATGAGGAAAGTGAGAGATCTCTTGTTCCAAGATATGATAAAGGTACTCAAATGAGCCCTACAGAAACTGAGAATGATGTAGATTCATCTCCGAAATCTTCTCCCTGTTCGGCCATAGATCAAGAAGATTGTCATTATCCTAAACTAGAAGTCAGAGATGTGGAGGTTGACAGTCAAGCTACTGTTATGAGGGGATCCAAGAGACATGGAGCCAAATTGATCAAAAATGACTCACTGCATAGAACAGAATTCAGAGAGAATAGTGCTGATGCTCAAGTTTCATGTTGGGATATTGAAGAATCAACCTTGGATACTTCCAAGTATGTCTCATTATGCTTCCAGTTCCTTAGATCACCATTAATGATTCATTCATCTGGGAGTGTCTTTCTTTTGGCGCAGGTTACGGAGAGAGGAAGCCAAAATCAATGCTTGGGAGAATTTGCAGAAAGCAAAAGCTGAAGCTGCAATGCGGAAACTCGAGGTATTTTTTCATCTACTTTACTTTCTAATACCAAGTACATCTAGAGTGGAGAATTAGACACAAAATAGTATTCATATTATCATATGATTAAAAGCAAGATATAAGGTTATTAAAGGAGGTTTCACCCTATATAATAAAAGCAGGGACAGTTGTAATATCTTTCTGACCATGATAATGTTTGACACAGATGAAATTGGAGAAGAAGAGATCTTCAACAATGGATAAGATTCTAAAAAAATTGCGTAGGGCGCAGTTGAAAGCAGAAAGTATGAGAAGCTTAGTACCTGTACAACAGGAACATCACGCTTCCAAGATTTGCAAAGTATTTTCATTCCCCAAATATGTCCAGATAAGGTCTCTAAGCAGCTGCTTCAGCAGCCACTCTCAGTGACCTACTCCTTGTACATGCCATTAAGTCATCGAGGTTTTTACTAGTTATAAAAGAATACTCTGCATTGTCTTAATGCCCATTGATGTAATTGGCATGTGTTAGAAACCCCAATACATCATTCTTTGTACCTATTTGTGTTATTTGTATATATAAAGTACGGTGATATATGTGGACGAACTTTCTTTAAATATTTTGTTAATCTCTATCTCTTCATGCACAAACATGTTTTCAAGGACGTGCAAGGACTCGCCATGTTGATGGAGACACACTGAACAAGTCTAGCAGCAGGTGTTTTGACAATGTGCTGCCATAGACGACAGTAGGGAAAGTGTATCTCTAGCCACTGCAACCGGTTTTCTTTGGAAATAATATTTTTAAAATATGTTCCACGTGTTCTTAAGGTGTGCCGCTGACACTAACCACAACACAATAGAGTATAAATTGGAGCATAATGAACTGGCATAAACACAACTTGCAAAAGAACCAAGAATTTTCATTTGAAGATTTACAATTTAATCATATAGACTACAAGTGAATACAAGATTAAAGTTCCATGGGCCAAAAAAGAATTAATCTGATTTAGTGAATTAAGTAAAATGCAACTCTAAGTGCTCATGATACTTTAAAACCATTCTTGATAGAAGACCTTCACATCAATTCCTGACACCCTTGGAAAATTGGAATGCTTATGCGGTAACATGCTCTCCTAGTAAGGTCTATACCTCCGATCTGCTCTTGACGGTCTTCTACTAGCAACTCCATAACCCCGCTGCGAAATAAATAAGAATAATAATGTTAGCAATACATGGTTTTTTATTGGTTAAATTCATATGGATCCCACCATATAACCTACATAATTTAGTGAGACCCACATAAAATTTAGACTGCATTGTTAGCACTCCTTAATAAATAGCCGAAAGCAAGAAGCATGCAACTAGACTCAGTATTCCAATATTTTAATTTTTATATTGTCCAATCTTTTACATCCAATCCAAGGAACACTTCAAAAAAAAAAAAATATCATCCATCTTTCTCATTGAATAAAATATACAAGCATTTTGGTTCACTAGCAAGATGAGCACGATAGGAAACAACACATATTAAGGGTCTAGTAGATTCCAAAAAATATATAAAATGGCCAAATTCTTGATATATAACCTAATTTACCATTTCTTACCAGTTATAAAATCATTCAAGTGTATTATAAGTATATTTGTCAATTAGGATTTCTGCTATTTAATTGTATTTCTCCTGTTTCTGTTAGCAAATGAGTCTTTGGCTCATAGGAGCAAACTGGGCCTATAACCAACTGCACTTAGTGTGTTGGGATGAGCTTATTGTAGCTTAGTAGTAATCAGATTTTTTCAGTACAGAATCTAACAGTAAACTATAACTATCAACTTGGTCTAAAAATACTGTACTAGGAATCTTAATCAGTTGCAACCTAAGTCTTCAGATTCAGAGTTCAGAAAATCCAAATTTCAGATTCTCTCGAATCTCTCCAGTTTTCTATTAATTTCTCAGATTTTCTCAGCAATGCAAATAATAGTAATGAAGCTATATAGTCTATACTCACATTGTCATAATCCAGGTTATCGTACATCCTCCCATATGGCCTCACGGGACTTTGATCAAAATAAGGACTCACAGGACTTCGATCAAAATATGGTCTCACAGGATCACCATATCCCCTGGAAGAATCCATACTATTATTCCCCGTAGTATTACCACTAGGCCCTGCGTCATCAAGAGATGCGGCTGAATCAATGACAACCTGCAGGAGCATAATGCAAAGAAATAGAATCATTTATAAATCAAATATTCACACACACACACACACACACACACACACACACACACACACACACACACTTGTATATAAGTATGAAATGAGGAATGCATGGTTAGTCAAGTTTCAGGAGAAATAAATTATTCAGCCTTGACTACACACGTATACACGACAAACAGAATCATCATTGGTGTTCAACTTCACATTCACATTTTTAACATATGATGCTTTGTCAGAAGGAATCCGCACAAACAGGAATAATGTAGGTCTACTGTACATGTCTGTTATGATTCAGTGCAATCACTGCACACTGATGTAATGTCAATTAGATCACTGCAAGAAAGGAGGGGGAGTGTTGACAAGTTTTTAAATACATCCCACTTATTTTATTGTCATTTCCAAATGAGGGGAAAAAATGAAGGATAGATTCAAGTAGGGTTATAATGCATAGTGACAGAAAATCCCAATTGAAGCACCTGATGCCCACAAATTTCATGAGATCTTCGTGAGACACAATCTGCAACACCATAGTCCGCAAAAGTCACAAAACCATAGCCTCTATGACCAGATTTCTTGAAATCCTGGATAAAAATAGACAGATGGATTAGCCAGCATTCAACACTTGTATATCTTTTATTTGACATCTTACCCTAGGAATATAAACATCTAATATATGGCCAAATCTTTCAAAATACAGGTGAAGATCCTCAGTGGTTGCCTCCTGGGGAAGACGGCCAACAAAAATCTTTTTGCTCATTCCACGAACAGGTTCTTTCCCTAATTTACAGTTTGAAGCAGTCAGTATGCAGAATCTTTTAAGAATTAATAATTTTAATTTAACATCTGTGTTTCCATGCTTACTTCCATAAATTGAACTGGGATGATCATACATAGTCGGACCACCAAGTGCTGCATATCTAGTTGGTTTAGAAATATAAGCATTATTAAATGCACCGTGTCCTCCTTGTGACGTTCTGGTTCTGCCAATTGGCTTGAAACCATCTCCCTACCAAAATAACATAACATCTTATTAACAAAAGTCATGTATAATCAGGTATCTCTCCATCGTCAAACTAATACTTAAGGATGAAAATGAAAACTAATACTAATATATTTCACAATAAGAGAGAAACATGTCAATGGCATTTCGGATGCGTGTTGACGCCGTATTGAGAACATTTTGGAATTCACTTTTAGTTTAAAAAGAATCTGATGTGCCGGCAGCATATTAGAGCATGTCAAGTATGACATGGAAGGAAAAACGAAGTGCCGGTAAGTCATAGATAATCAACAATAACAAACTGCAATATAATGCTTTCAAGCAAAACAGAAAACACAACAATAAAATAAATGAAGATATTTACAAGTGAAGAAGCAATAATAGGTAAAAACCAAAGGCTAAATTTCAAAATTTTAAATTTATAAAAAATACAGATAATAATGAAGCTAGAAACAACTTCAGTCCCTTAAGTTATTTTAAAGTCAATCAAGTCTCTTTATTTTCAGGATTAAGCTAATATGGTCCTGCTTCTGGATGTTGGAAAAAACTTATAATCAAATCATTATTAATTATTATTCACAATTTTTTCTCAAATCAGGCAGGCCATTAAGTATCCTTGAAAAACATGCATTATGGTTATATGCTTTGATATCAAACAGGAAGTGAAGTGGAATGGAATGGAAGGGGTGGTAGAGGAGTGGAACGAAACAAAATAAACTCGTCTTTTCAATGTTGAGATATTTTAAAGATAGAATTTGAAAATTGTTTAATTTCACCCCCCTCAAATTGGAGGGGGAAAGGTGGGATGTTGGATGGAATGGGATGGAACCCATTCCATCTATAGAACATTAAACATTTAATGGTTCAAATTACAATTCATCCTAATTTATCATTTTCCACCAATCTGGACATAGAGCATATCCATTAAATGTCCATGATTCGATCAAATAGATTAAACAGTGAACTCATAACTTACTTATGGCGATGGCAGTGAAATAAATAAACTATTTCTTAATAGATGGTTAGTGGCAGGCTGTAACAAATTATCAGACAGCTAGACAGCTAGATAATATGAGACATAACCAGACAAATTAAATAGAAGATATTCATACAAATGACATAATCATAAGAGAGGAAATCAAATGACATAATCACAAGAGGGGAAGCACCAAATGTATGCCCAGAGTAAGAAGAGAAACTGAACTAGTGATGAAATACAAACTATACTATTGACTCTTCGTATAGTGTTTCGATCTCCCTCAGTATTTATTTGCACACCATGGTTACTAATTCTTAGACTTTATCTCATTAAGATAAGGATCCATATCCTTCACCAAGTCTTTCCTTAATTTTCACTTTAAAATCCTTCTTATTCTTTTTAAAAACCTTGACTATCTATCTATCTATATGAATTAACTTTTTTCTATTTTCTTTTTCACTTAATATCAATGTTGTCACTGGCAGATTGTGGAAGGCCAAAAATCCTCTGTATAAACATGCCATTGCCATTGGGTCCTATGGCACCAATATGGCAGGCATCCCTTCTCAAATCGCCTATGGCAGTTGTCAAAAAAATTGCCACGCCATTTGGTCATTTTACAACACTGCCTAAAAGTTATCAACCAATTGATTAGAACTATTGGGCCGAGTAGCTTTATATTGTGAGCATATAGCCATGTTTTTACTAGCAATGCATGGCTGCTACAAACAGATAATTGCTTCGATAGAAAATGCAATTGAAAATGAATAAGCTCTAAACAATCTTGCCTTAGGTATTGCTAGATCAACCACCACATCAGAACCTCCCAGTTTATGGGTTTCTTTCATCACGTTCTCTACAGAATCTGCAACACAAATATCTTGGTTATAGGCTTACAGAAATTGATATATCATGTCATTATCTATTTGATTTCAAAATTAATGTCATGAACTGGGGGGTAGGGGGGAGCAAAATGTGAAAAACAAAACAAAATACTTTCATAATTCTTCTGTAATCAAGAAAGCTTAGAGAAAGTTATACCAATAACATATAATAACTAACACTAGTTGATTACCTACGATTTTAAATTAAATAAAATTCAAGGATAGTTAGGGCATGAAAACCCATAAGTTTAAATATGCTGATAGACAAATAATGATGGCCAAACCTGCACTTGCAAAAGTGATAAAACCAATTCCTCGATGTGTTTTTGATCTTTGAGCCTGTGGGAAATAAATGATAAAATGCCTAGAATTTAAATAAATAAATATCAATAAACATTATATATGTATATGCATAATAATGCAGTGTAACCGTATAACTAACAGCTGCAATCAAATTATGTGTATACATACAAAGAATGCATAAAACATGCCAGCCGCATTTTAACTTTACATGTTTGACCATCGCAGTGAGGAAAGTACCTTTGGCATATATAAATATTCTATATCACCGTATTTCTCAAAATGACTGCAAAGGAGGGAAAAGAGAAAGCAATATATTAAAATAGTAAATAATGCATCCGTTTCCACAGCATCAGAGATTATATATGAGAATGAGACTAATGCATCCGTTTCCACAGCATCAGAGATTATATATGAGAATGAGACTAATGCATCCGTTTCCACAGCATCAGAGATTATATATGAGAATGAGACTAATGCATCCGTTTCCACAGCTTCAGAGATTATATATGAGAATGAGACTAATGCATCCGTTTCCACAGCCTCAGAGATTATATATGAGAATGAGACTAATGCATCCGTTTCCACAGCATCAGAGATTATATATGACAATGAGACTACGTCCACAAAGGAAGAAAACACTCCCAATTACTTTAATGAGGATATCACCCTCAATATACCTCCTAAAAGTTGCTTCTGTTACTGATGGGGCAATCCTTGACACAAAGATTCTGGGAACTGGTGCCCTCATCTCCTCCTTTAATTTAAAAGGAAAGCATGCCAAGAATCAATTGTATAATCCACAATACCATCACAATATCTCATATAACTTACAAGTATACCAGCAATGAGCTAGACTAGAAGTTAATAATCATAATTTTTCATTATGTGTTAAAACCTTTGGTGTGGCCACTTTGAATTCCAGCATCCTGTTGCCAAGACTGTGTTCACTGGATAGCACATACTGCATTTAGAAATGATGCAACTTGGGATTTAGCATATTCAGCTAATAGCCAGGTCTGTTTTGTGTATAGAACAATTACCTTAGCATCATCCACTGATGCAAATGTAACATATCCAAAACCACGAGACCGGCCAGTGAACCGATCCTAAAATACAAATACACATAGATTAGACTGTGCCTCCATAAAACTTAAAACTTGAAAGTAAACATGAAATTTAGCATTACAAGATAATCACTACATAAGAGCAGGATAAGCAAGCAACAATTAGTTCTTCTCTATTCTTTCTCTATTATTTCTTGCTATTTATTTTTCTCTGTTTATGTAAACATGTTGAATTTTCTCTCCAAAACACTTGAATAATGGAGCTTGGAGCATGAAAATGTAGTACACCAATACTTGACAAATTTCTCACCACCACAGAAAATCATAAATTAAATATGAAAAGGAAGCAAGAATAACAAGAAAAAAACGGAAAGCAATAGCTAACCTTTACAACAAAACAATCTCCTAGCTCACCAAATTTGCTCATATAGTTTTTCAAGCCCTTAGTATCAACGTCCCATGGGATATTCGTAACCTAAGATAGAATTCTCATGAGCACAATAAGTTAAACTCGCAAGATTTTCAAGAACAAGATTTTCAATTGAAAGGCAAATTATTACAAATGTATTAATGATAAAGAAACGAAATTGAACATGCATGACTAACCATAAGCTTTCGCTGCTCCATGAAAAAAATTCAATTAAGCTCAAGAAACGCAATATAAAGCTGCAGAGAGTGAAAACCCTAGAACTTGAAAAACTAAATAGGAAAAAAAAATCTCTCGAACACTTCTTCGGGAATCTCTCACCCCTCTCTCTCTAAATTCCTCACACTCGCTCCCTGCAAATAAGAAAAACACTTCTATCTCACGCACAATTTTCGTCGTCATTATCATCATTTACGAGATGAAATTTCAGCTTTAGAGAGGGCTTCAAATTCAACTGCGTAGTTGTGAACTCAAAGAAGATTGAATCCAAAAAAAATGTGATAATTGAGATGAAACCAGTGGATTACGCGCTCGTTCACTCACCTTGAGATATCGTATCAGGAAAACCAAAACCCTAAATCGCAGATCATGCGCGCTATTTCTCCGTTTCACTCCCTCTCTCGCTGCTCGCTCTGCATGTATATGTCTTACAGTCAAAATCTTTGCGCCAAGTGCCAACACGTACATTTCGGCTTAGCAATCAACCGGGCAGCCGAGGATCGGCTTAGAAATGAACCGGGTGCTTAACCGAACCCCTGGCAGAACCGGTTTTTTTATTTGGAGGGTTACACTTCGGATTAAGGTAGCATTTATCTAACTTAAGTCTCCAAAAACAAATTCAATGTGGTGATTATTTTGAAGTCTTAGTATAGCTTTTTAGAATTTGTATTAATTTATTTGAAGTTATATAATAGCATAAATTATTTATTTGAGAATACTTATGAAAATAATTTAAAAATATATTAAAATAATTAAATATTATTTTTAAATTTTAATTTAAAGTATAAAATAAACTTTAACAACAATAAATTTATCCATATTTATTTAAATTGATCGGATAGATTTATAAAAATTTTATTATGACATATGACCTACACATCATTAAATAAACATGTCATATTCTATTATGATGCCAACTCAGTTGTTAGTCATACAGAAACATCAAAATAAATGAAATGTTATCTGCTTTATACGCAAAATGGTGAAAAGGAAAAACAAAATTTGAATAAAAATATAAATTATACATCATTAAAATTTGATAAACCATCGATTTTCAATGCAAAAATATGATTAAAAAAAATTATTTAAATTTAAAATAATAAAATTAATTTCATAAATAAGATAAATTAAGAAGAACAAAACTATAATAATTAAGCTAAAATAAAATGGTGTACTTAGTCTATGACGGATCTCAAATATACTTTACTTAAAAATTTACTAATGCGATAGCAAATTTGCAGCTATAATTATTATTTGTATTATAATTTTTAAAAATGGTGCACTTGGATTTAATTAGGAGAGTTTTTAATAATATTTTCATAACTTAGTGTTACACGGTTTAAGGTTTAAAATGGTCTATATTATCTCATATTCAAAAAACATAATATATCTTTCGCACAAGCTAAACTTCATCCATTCTAGTTTTCTCCTTTTCCAAACTTAATTGTCTTCCTTTGTTATAAAACTTATTGTGTATAAAACCCTTGTTGTTACACTCTCATCTATTAAGAGATATATTAAGAGATAACTTTTATGAATTATTGAACGAACATAATTAGGAAACAGATTAATAGAAGGTAAAAAACTTTGAAATAGCCAACAATCTCAAATATTCAATATGATAATTGATTAAGACAATGAGAGGGGATTTTAGATATTTGATCTAATTCACTAATTCTACCAATTAAGTTTTAGCAAGACTATTCAATTATGAGTTACTAATAACGAATTTGACAAATAAACTCAAATCAAAGTCAAGAACGCATTTATTGTTAAACTAAAAAATATTCAATATTTAGAGTTCTTATCAAGTGCAAATGAGGGTTTTGCATCTTTGATGAATTTAGAGATTATTAATCAAAAGTATAGAAAAATATTGCAATAACATTTGTAATTTAACCTATTGAATCGTCCTTATTATTGGGTTAATCAAGTCACAATAAAAAGGCATTGGTGTTTCTTCTTAATCCTAATATGAATTTTAGCACATATTTTTTTACACCAAATTAGTCAATTCAATAAGTTCAAATACCTAGGTTTTTTTAATGTGAAATCAATTTCGTTAAAGAGAAAGTAAAGAGGAGTTTGGAACCTCCGAGTTTACAAGAAGATATCCCACAATCCAAGTTCTAGAGCTAAAAGATTTATCCAAACCAACAATGTTACGGATATTAATATTAAACTCCCGGTTGATAAACATAATAGAACTGAAGTTAAAATTACTAAGCAAATGCCTACAATCCTCTGCAATGAGATCGAGATCGGCATTGGCTACACATGCATTCATACATTCCACAGCAGAAAGAGAATTAGATTGAAATGATCATCGTGTCCACCTTCAACTCCAAGAAAGAACCAAAGACCATCGGATTGCAAGGATTTCTGCGACCACCAGTGTCACGGTCCTACAATCTTTTTTACTGTCAGCAAGGAAGATTTCTGAGTCAGGATTCCTAATTATACAACCATAGCAAGTAGTTTCTCCCTCCACAATTCTGACGTCCACCTGCATAACAAAAAACCTTTCTAGCAGTATGGTTCAGATAAGGTTTAGCAAGATTCGCCTTCCTTCGCTCCGTCACAGGGTTAGACCTGTTGAGTTCATCCACAAAGTTTAAAGCTTCAAGGGTCACCATTTGAGGTTCTGTCGCTTTCTGCTCGTACACAAGGGAGTTTCGCACCTTCCAAATTTTCTGCACCATAGTGCACAACAACTGCGTGCTCAGCAAGTCTCCGCACATGAGAATCCTCGAAAGCCATTCCTGAATGCTCAGGTCCACATGAGCCTTGTATCTAAGAATTGAAGAAAAGAAAACCTATTTAGCATAAACACAATTCAAGAAAAGATGATGGTTGGTTTCCACCTCTGAACTGTAGAAGGAACATATAGAATCCATCTGAATTCTCTTCCTGCACAGGTTGTCCTTGGAGGGAAGGACATTTTTTGCCAAATGCCACAGAAAATTTTGTGTTCTGACATGAACATTTTTCCGTCATATCTCTTTCCACAGACTTTGAAAGGGAATACTAGAAGTTCCAGGAGGCTTTGCGCCTTTGATATGCGGGCAAAGATGGTAAGCTGTTTTCACAAAGTACTCTTTGTTTTTCTCAAAATGCCACAGGAGTCGGTCTTCATTGTCTCTAAAAGAAAGTGGAATACTGGTGATTTGTTTGGCATCCTCAGGATCAAAACAAGCCTCAATTACATCCTTCTTCCAAGTTTTAAAATCTTCATCAATAAACTCTTTCACTTTTGTGTTCTCTTGAATACCTCTTACAAATGTAAATATCTTGAATCCCGGATTGTCAAGAATCCAACTGTCAAAACAAACAACAACATTTTCCCCATTCTCAATTCTCCATCTAGCCCTGGTGTCTATAAGCTCTCTCGCACTCAAGATACTTCTCCAAGCGAAACTTGGCACGTAACCAAGAGTGCTTTCCTCTATTGTAGTTCTGGGGTAATACCTGCCTTTGAAAACATTCTCAAACAACGAGTTCTCGTTCGTAAGGAGACGCCAATAGTGTTTTCCCAATAGGCTTGTATTAAAGTCATTGAAGCTTTTAAATCCTAATCCCCATTCTCCCTTAATCTTTGCAAGTTTTTCCCAACTAATCCAATGGACTCTCTTAGCACCTCCATGAGCACCCCACCAAAATTTGGCAATGATGGACTCAATCTCTTTACAAGTGGATTCAGGTATCTTGTAGAAACTCATGACCTATGTTGGAATAGCTTGCGCAACAGCTTTTATGAGGACCTCTTTTCCCACTCTATACAAGAACTTCTCTTTCCAACCCTTAACCTTCTTCCACACCCTATCAACAACCAACATGAAAATCTATTTTTTTGACCTTCCAAAAACCACCGAAAGACCAAGATACTTTGTGTGACGCGGGACAGTTATGACGCCCAACTTCGCCCGTAACGCCTCTTGACTCTCATCATTCACATTCCTGCTAAAGGAAACCTCAGATTTGTCGAGGTTCACCACCTACCTAGAATAAACTTGATACGTTCCAAGAATTGATAAAATCTTCATAACTTCTTGTTGGCTAGCTCTGGAAAAAAGCATTTGTCATCAGTGAAAAACAAGTGAGTTATAGTAGGGGCCTTACGAGCCACTTGGATACCATGGAGCTGCCTGCTAGCCACCTCCCGTTTGATTAAACCTAAAAGAACATCAGCGCACAATATGGACAGGTAATGGGAAAGGGGATCTTCTTGACCGAGACCCCTCTCCGGTAGAAAGCTAGCAATGGGTTGCCCATTAATCAGAACTTTTTAAGTAATTGTAGAAATACACTTGTTGATAACATCGACCAAGCTTTGAGGGAATCCCATTGCAGATAACACTTCAATAGTGAAAGCCCATTCCAACCTGTCATAAGCCTTCGACATATCCAACTTAAGTGCCATAATCTCCTTCTTTCCTTTAGTCTTTTTTTTCATCTAATGGAAGCACTCAATTGCCACTAATGAATTATTCGCAATGAGATGACCTTAAATGAAAGTGCTTTGTTCCTCATCGATAATGTCTGGGAGAATTCTCTTGATTCTGTTAGAAATGGTATTTGTGATTATCTTCATGATCACGTCACAAAGGCTGATATGACGAAACTCCTTAGCACTTGATGAGAGCTTACACTTTGGAATCAAGGTAATATGTGTATTGTTATGTTCTCTTGGATCTGCATTATTGTTAAGCACTTCCAGAACTAGTTGCAGATATATGTCCTAACTAGGGCTGGAAATGAGTCGAGTCGAGTCGAACTCACCTCAGCTCGACTCGTTAAAAATTGTTCGAGTTCGAGTTTGACATGAACTTTTTTTAAGCTCAAACTCAACTCGTTATAAGTTCACGAACAGTTCGGTTCAACTCGTTAGGTTCATCTCATTAGGTTCAGCTCACATGATTCACGGACTTAAAAACTATTTTTTAAAATTTATATATTTTTTAGTATATTTGACATTTTAAAT